CAACACCTAGGCAAAATCCAACTAGATTGGAATTGCATGTGACACCTCAAGGACCTCATGATGAGGGTTGCATCCTTGCTGCTAGGAAGGTTCCTACCATCCTTCCCTAGCTCTTGGAGAACCCCTTCTCTCTCATGGTTCTCTTGGAGTCCCCAACTCCAACTTTCTATGCCCTAATGCTTGTACTTCCTCTACCATACTAGTCATGCAGCTGCTGGACGTTTTTACTTGGTTCTCAATCTAGAGACCATCTTAACGACTGATTCAACTTGGAGATGGTAGCTAAGCCTGAGGCGCAACTTCCTACCAAGCGGATTTGCGTTTAGTTGAGTAATGAGTTCGTCGTAAGCTCTCAAAGTGACGGATCATGAACAACACGTTCCTCACGCCGCTGATGAGTACCGTTGGAGGTACCTTGTAGAGGACCCGTCAAAGGGGAAACGTTACCTGCTTCACTTCCCGTCACTCACCTGCGATTTCTGCAATGGTCAGCACATGTCGCGGTACCATGATCATTACATCACCTCGAGGCAGGAGAACTTCACCAACTGGAACGTGACGGTCAAAAAGGTTCATGAGATGAATGGTATAAGAAGAAAGGCTCCCCGTCCACTACCTTAGCAGTCTTTACCGCTTTCCTCTTTGCTTCCTACCCCATACTGACGGTTGTTTCCCCACTTCTCCCCGCAGCTGCATCCCTAAAAGCCTCAGCCCTCATGAAACATATCGTAAAAGACCCCGCGGTTGTACTCACCTCCACAGGAGGTGTGTGGGAGGAGTGGGTGTGTGTGCAAACGGTGTGTAAGAAGGCACAAGGGAGTCGCTTCGAGCAGGCAGCGGCTCACATCGCATCTGCCGGGCACAAGGGAGGGCTGAAGGAGGTCAGTGCTGCAACACGTGCCAGCACGCACTCTCAGAATTTTGCTGCTTTCAAAAAGGAGTTCATCGTCAAACCGGCAAGAAGTGATTAGGAGCTCAGTCATAAATACATAGATGGGATCAGATGATGCAGCAAGGTGGATCATGGGTGCAGGATGTATAGTCGGTGCCATGTTCTCTTTCGCTGTAGAAGGATGTATCGTCGCAGTGAAGCTTAACTGCCCATGGATGCTGTGGGGCTCAACGAAGTGGATTAATGGATAAAAACAAGTTCACCTTTCTCGAGCTCAACATCAACAGGCTCGACAGTAGCAGATAGCAAGAGAGTTGCAGGAAGTGGATAAGGAAGGCAGCGAACATTGTAGTCCTTACAGACGCCTGAGATCCAGCAGACCATAACTTCTAGACGCAAGTCAGGTCGGAGGCCCAGGCAGTGATGGGTACATCGCAGAGAGCTAGCGGAGTAGCCGTTTTGGGTTTCCTGCAAGGGATGCGGTTTAAGAAGGTGGTCAAACACAAGTCAGGCCGCCTTGTGAGCCTAATAGCGAAGTGGCGTGATCTAAGTTGCAGAATAGTTGCTGTGTACCTACCGGCGCAGGCCCCTGCAAGGAGGGTGTTCTTCCGAGATGTCCTGACACCCTTCGTGCAAAGCCTACGCGCGACACCACACACGGTCTTCCTAGGTGACCTGAATATCGTCGCTGATCCGGAGCTGGATAAGTCGTCGAAGCTGGGGACCCCGGTGGAAAACCTGAGACTCTTGCAAATTTGCTTGACGTGGGATTTGCAGGACGCTTTCCATTATCTATTCTTTCCATTACCTTTTTCTCCAGATCTGCAAGGACAAGTACGCAAATCGACAGGATTTTAGTATCTCACTCATTGCTCAACTGCGTGATAGAGGCAAAGCATAAGATGATGCCCTACAGCCTCACTGACCATTGGTTTGCGGTATCAGTCACACTTAAATCGGCATCGGCAGATGACCACGGCCCTGGTCTCTAGAGGCTTGAGGTAGCACATTCGGGTGGCGAAGGGACCCAAAAAATTCATATCTGCGGTATTGGCGACGCAAATAGACGAGCCGGCCCAGAGCCTGGAGAGGCTACTGGCGAATCTGTGGGCAAGCATGAGAGTGCACGTAGCGGAGGAGAGGAAAAGGGTGAAGGTGACCATGGCGCATCTGGAGCAGAAAGTGGAGGCCCTCAGGTGGAGGGTGATGGCAGATCCATCGGCACAAGATACGTACGAGGAGCTGACAAAGAGCGAAGCGGCACTCAAACTTTACCTGGATGTGAACAAGGAGCGGCTCTAGGTCATGGCAGGGATGCTGGCCGGACTGGCAGGTGAGACATCATCGGGCTTCCTATTGGGCCTGTTCAAGTCGAAGACAGAGATCAGTGAACTATTTTGTAAAGGCGCGTGTATGAAAGGGGCAAAAGAGTTGCTGCAGGCGGCTTCCGAACACTTCCGTGAGGCCTACGCTGGCTCACCAGCAGGGAATGTCAAGGAGCCATGGCCGATTGATGAGAGGCGGCGATTGCAAGAGGCTGACCGGACGATGCTTGGGAGAGAGTGGTCGGAGCAGGAGGTAAAGGAAGCGCTCAAGGGGCTCCCAGCGGGAAAAGCTCCAGGCCAGGACGGGTTGCGAAGGAGTTCTTCGAGCGCAACTGGGAACTCCTTAGACCAGCGGTGATGAAGGAGGTCAAAGCGTTCGAGAAGACGGCACGGCTCTCCAAAACCTTCACAACGGCGGTTAGAATCCTACTACACAAAAAGGGAGACAGGGACAACTTGAGTAACTACAAACCAATTATTTTACTGAGCTTCTTCCACAAGCTACTAGCGAAAGTAATGGCAAACTGGATCAAATTAGTCTTACTGAGGGTGATATTGGAGAACCAGTTTGGATTCCTCTCGGGAAGAAGTCTGGCGGACGCGGTCTCACTTGTAGTAAATACAATAGATGCAACGATGGAGGAGGATGAGGACTAGTTGTTGCTGCTAGTCGACTTCCAGAAAGCATACGACTCAGTGTCTCGGGAGCACCTGTTCAAGATGTTAGAGAACATGGGTTTCCCAACGGGGTATTCGGCATGGGTGAAAGGTCTTCATGATGGTGCGGCTACCAAGTTGCTGCTGAACGGCTGGGTGGGGGAGAAGGTGGAGATGGAAAAAGGGGTTTGCCAGGGGTGCCCACTCGCCCCGTACCTCTTCCTTTGCGCCGTTGAGCCACTCTACCAGGAAATCGAAAGGAGGAAACTGGGAGTCAAAAAAAGGGGCATAAAAGGGGAGCTAGCTTACATTGGCTACGCTGATGACACGACCCTTGTCCTAAAAGGGAAGGAGCAAGTGGTATCAGCGAAGAAGCTGTTGGATGACTTCGCGGGAATATCGGGGCTAAGGGTGAACCACGAGTAAACACCACTGATGCCACTGGGGAAGAACAGGAGGAGGTTGCAGCCGATAGCCTAACCTTTCACCTGGGCAGACAAGGACAGGGCGGAGTGGCTGTTAGGTATTTGGATAACGTACGGCGGCTCACCGAGACCAGTGTGGGACAAGGCGTTTGAGAGAGTAAGCGCGGTGCTGAGCTGCTAGGAAACGAAGCACCTCAAGACATCCGCGAGAGTCACCATCATCAATAGCTATGCGATGCCGATCTTACTATTCCAGGCCCAGATTTATGCCCCGCCGCATGAAATCTGGACAAAGGTGAAGTGGCTCTGCCACAACTTCATCTCTGGGGGCAAAGCACTGCTGGACAGGCATTTCGTCCTCTGGAGTTACGACCTGTCGTGCCGGGGAAGGAGAGACGGCAAACTAGGAGTGATAGACTTGAAGCACCGAATCGATAGCACTGTGATCCAAAACCTGGGCAAGGCCCTGGTGGAGCATGAACCTTTAAGAATCTGGCTATGGGAGAGAGCGGCTGGTTTCCCACTTGGTCTGGCGACAATCTACGCCCACCCCTCGATCTTGAACCACTAGTTGGGAAGCGGGACAAGATAGAAAGCAGCAGTAAAAGCCCTATGGGACTCAAAAATCTTAATCATTGGTGACCTTGCACACAGATGGGACGCGAAAGAGGAGCAGCTATTGCTCAATCGGAAAATCTTCTTCAGAGGCAGATCACCTTTCGTAATCAGGCGGGCTTGCACTGCTTGATGGGAATACGCCTGGGGGACTTGGTGGAAAAGAGCAGCGATGATAGCAAAAGCCTCAAGAGCGACGCCACCCTGGAACAGGAACTTGGGGGGGTAGACCAGAGAAAGTGGGCCTGGAAGGCGAGGGAATCAGTGCCACAGAGTTGGAGGGACCTGGTACTCACCAGCTGCCAGCGGAGGAGGTTTTCAGGGAGACGTGTTTGATTCGCACACCGTCATACTGACCAAGGGAGTTTTTCTACTACACGCTAGAATACGCGAACAACGGAGTGCTGTATGGGAAGTGGGCGACGGTGGATAAGAAGGGGCACATATCCGCGGTGGAGTATGCCAGCGTGGTATCAGTTGACCACTTACACACCACTCCAATGGCAGTCATAGAAGGGAGGATGCGAGGGCCGCTGGGTGACCGGAGATCACGGCTGGTCTACTCACCGATCTGCAACAAAGGCAAGCGAGCCGAACTAAGGCAGCTGCGGAATGCAATGAGGCCCCGAACCGCCCAACCCAAGCAACAGCTGTAGTGGGAAGAAGTGAGGGGGAGGAAGATAGACTGGGGGAAAGCCATCAAGATCCGGGACTCACTAGCAACCCCAGCAAGGGGGCGGGAAGTGGTGGAGAGAGTGCACAACAACCTACAGGTGGAGGAAAGACTTCCGTTCCTGGGCGCAAGGGTGCGCTGTGTTCACTGCGGGGGGGAGGAGTCACAACACCACTGCCTCTTCAGCTGCCCCATGATCCAACCAGTGGTCGGGGTGATGAAGAGAGTAGTACAATGTGTGAACCCGGGCAGACATGGAGTGCCTCAGCGATATGCTGTTCCAAGAAAACAGCACGACGACGGGTTTTCCGGAGGCTGCCTTCATCTCGATCACGGCGCACCAAGTTTGATTGGAGAGGTGCAATGCGGTTTTCAGGGATAGCCGATTCCAGCCAAAAAGGGCGCTGCGATACATGGCAGTGATTTTTACAAGGGACGTGAAGATTTACAACCGGGCTCGGAAAAGGGTGGCTGGAAAGGGGGCTACGGAACGGTCAGGCGGCTGGAGTCACTTGGCTGCTGATGAGGCGGAAGTCATGCACAAACTGTACCAATGTGAAGCCTCGATGACGTGGAAGGCGGATTTCAAGGCAATCTGGGAAGATGGAGGGGTGGCCTTCTAGCCTCTGTAGAGAGTAAGAGGGGGGAAATGTTACCTGTAACATTTAGCCCTTCTAGCAACAGTTATGACTGCGGATGTATGCATGCGTGTAGTATACTTATATCCACACTAAAAAAAGAGGCGACGAAATCGTCTAAGGGTTGCAAAGCGATTTGCATAAACAAATTATATTGTACAGTTTCTAATACTGAGATTTTGATTTACACGATTACCTACCTTGTAGTGCACAACATTGATAACTTGTAATGCACAACATTGATAAAAAGTATCACAACATCAAACTTAAAAAAAAATTGTTGAAGTTTGCAAAAGGGTCCCAAATAGGTTTCGTACTTGCCACCTTCCTCATTCGAAGAATTTCTCAAACAACTGTGCTATCACTAGTGTTAACATCGAAAAACAGAATTTAATAAACGTTTTCGTTTGCGACGAATTACTCCTTCATCTAGGGTTAGCTTGTTCCTTTCCTCCTCCCGCATTTCTTCGCGCTGAGCTAGGTTCTTCACAGCCGCCAGCTAGTCACCCTCCACCTACCACTCTAAGGTGAGAAGGAACATGAACTATAAACTAGAACTAAGTTTTGCGAGACAAACCTGTCGTAGCCTCTTTATTTAACCGTTCAAAGGATTGCAATGAACTTAGGTTTCATGTGTCAGAACATTATAGCTTACTTATTTGTGTAGGCTATAGTGGGGTATCCCATAAGGGGTACAACCCAATTAGGGTTTCCTATTTGTACTCACTTCGTTCTTAGTCATTCATTCACGTTCCTTTATTCACATGGAATCAGAGCAGGTCCCATCCTAGGGACTGTTCTTTAGGGCCCACCGAAGCGCGCCCGAGGCGCGCGCCTTTTTTTTTAGCGACCCTCCGAGTCGCCCTTTTCCTTCGCGGCCCTGCCGCCCTACTTCGCGGCCCGACCGCCGCCCTACTCGCGGCCCAGCCGCCGCCCTACCTTAGCGGCCCACCCGCCGCCCTTGCTAGCGGCCCCGCCGTCCCGTAGCGGCCCCGCCACTCCGTCGCGGCCCCGCCACCCAGTCGCGGCCCCGCTACCTCTTCGCGCGGCCCCGCCACTTCGTCGCGGCCTCGCCACCCCTTTGAGCGGCCCCGCCACTTCGTCGCGGCCCCGCCACTCCGTCGCGGCCCCGCCACTCCGTCGCGGCCCCGCCACCCTTCAAGCGGCCCCGCCACTCCGTCGCGACCCCGCCACCCAGTCGCGGCCCCGCTACCTCTTCGCGCGGCCCCGCCACCTCGTCGCGGCCCCGCCACCCCTTTGAGCGGCCCCGCCACTCTGTCGCGGCCCGCCCGCCGCCCCTTATCTCGCGGCCCCGCCGCACCAGCGCCCACGGCCCCGCCGCCCCAGCGCTCCCGGTCCCGCCGCCCCTGATACGCGGCCCCGCCGCCCCAGCGCTCCAAGCCCTGCCGCCCCTGATCTCGCGGCCCCGCCGCCTCAGCGCTCCAGGCCCTGCCACCCCTGATCTCGCGGCCCCGCCGCCCCAGCGCTCCCGGCCCCGCCGCCCCTGATACGCGGCCCAGCCGCCCCAGCGCTCACGGCCCCGCCGTCCCTTGCTCTCGTGCCGCCCAACTGCAGCAGCCGAGCTGCCCAACTGCAGCAGCCGAGCAGCAGTGCAGCCGAGCCGCCCTTGCACCCGAGCCGCCCGGCAGCCGAGCCGCCCCGCCCGAGCCGCCCTACCGCCGAGCCGCCTGGGAGCCGAGCCGCCCGGGAGCCGAGTCGCTGAGTAGCCGAGCCGCCTTTCTACCGAGCCGCCCGACCTGCCCTGCCCGGTAAGCACTGTACCGCTATCACTGCGTGCCCTTCCCCTACTACTTGCACTGCTTCACTGTCGTCGTCATGGCTACCCCTAGTGTCCTTGCGTTTGACGCTGAGGGTCGAGCCATAGACTTCGAGGTCTGGCTCGACGACTTGCAGCTGTTTTTACAGTGCGATAGGGCGGACGGTCTGTCTCTCTTTGACCTCACCTCTGGCGCCGTCCCTGCCCCTGCTGCTGATGCTGACGCCACTGTTCGCTCACAGTGGGCCACGCGCGATGCTGCTGCACGTCTTGCTGTGCGTCGCCACTTGCCTACCGCTGAGCGCGCGCACTTTAGCCAGTACAAGAGTGCCCAGACCTTGTACAACGCTATAGTTGCGCGCTACTCCTCCCCTGCCACTACTGCACTGAGCCACCTCATGCTCCCCTTCCTCTTCCCTGACCTTGCCGCCTTTCCCACTGTCGCTGATCTCATCACGCACCTCCGCACTAGTGACACTCGCTACCGCGCTGCGCTTCCTACTGAGTTCTGCGCCAAGAACCCCCCCCCCATGTACATCACTCTCTACTTCTTAGTCACTCGCCTCCCTGACTCCCTTCGTGTAGTCCGGGACCACTTCCTCGCAGTCTGTCCCACCACCCTCACAGTCGACAGCCTAGAGAAGGCCCTCCTTGCGGCAGAGAAGAGCATAGTTGATGTAGGAGCCTCTCGAGGCGACCCCCGCGCCCCCATCTTTGAGGGGTGTTCTCCTTCCCCTCTCCTGCCTTCTGTCGCCTCTGCCGCTGCGGCCGACCTCGTTGGTCTTGACTCGGTCGGTGCGGCGTCTGCCCCTAGCGGGAGACGCCGCTCTGGCAAGGGCAAGGGGGGCAAGGGAGCGGGTGGGGCCAGTGGGGGCGGTGGAGGTGGAGGTGGAGGCGGCGGAGGGAGTGGGGGTGGCGGTGGAGGTGGTAGCGGGGGTGGGGGTGCTAGTGGCGGCAGTAGAGGCGGGGGTGGCGGCGGCGGTGGCGGTGGTAGCGGAGGTGGCGGAGGTGGCGGCGGTGGAGGCGGAGGTGGGGGCGGTGGAGGTGGCGGCGGGGGTGGCGGCGGTGGAGGTAGTGGGAGTGGAGCTTCGCAGCGGAGCGGCGCTGGGGGAGGTCAGCGCCAGCAGCAGCAGCACCAGCAGCGTTCTCGCGACGTCCCCACCCCTCAGCAGCTCCGTGAGTGGTACACGCAGCGCCAGCGCGGTGGGGGTTTTGGTCCCTACACCTACGTTCTCCGCACTGGCGAGCGCGCTGGAGAGCAGTGTGGGGGCACCCACACCGCCCAGCGCTGCTTTGGCCGCCTGACGAACGCTTGGCGCCAGCAGTTCCCGGAGGCCGCGGAGATCCCCCGCTGGGGAGAGCTGTCAAGGGCAGGTGTCGCTGTTTTTGACCTTGACTTTGATGCTATCCTTGCTGCCATGTATGCTGTGACCGTTAGTGATGATGGTGACTGTTACGGGTGTTTCCCGCCCGACCCGGGCATTGGTACTGCTGCTCCAGGTGCCGGTGAGGCTTCTGCTCTAGGTGCCAGTGCGTCTGTGCTCTCAGGTGCTGGTGAGGCTGCTCTCTCAGGTACTAGTGCGTCTGCGCTCTCAGGTACTGCGTCGGCTTCGGCCTCCCACACCTTCACTCTTGACTCTAGAGCGTCTCGCTCTTTCTTTCGGGACCACACCACACTCACACCGCTTAGTCGGCCGGTTGCGGTTTCCCTGGCTGACCCCTCTGGGGGTCCTGTCCTGTCTCGCTTCTCCACAGTCCTCCCGTGTCCGGCGGCTCCCTCTGGCACCCTGTCTGGTCTCTACCTCCCCTCGTTCTCTACGAACTTGGTGAGTGGTGCTGACCTACAAGATGCGGGAGTCCACCAGTTCACTCCTGCTCGTCAGCGAGTGACGCACTGCACAGAGGCTAGCACGGGTCGTCACCTGGCTACGTTCACACGTCAGCCAGGGTCGAGCCTGTACACACTGACCACTGCTTCTCCTCCAGCTGCTGAGTCTGGTCGAGTCCCTTCGTCTGGTCAGGTGTTTGCTGCGGCGTCCAGGTCTGGTCCTGAGTCTGCCCCCTGTTTGTGTCGCCGTCTGTCTCACGAGACCCTCCTCTGGCACCACCGCCTTGGCCACCCCTCTCTGCTTCGGCTCAGAGGCATGGCCTCTCGTCTTCTTGTGTCTGGTCTTCCCCGGTCCCTCCCTCCCCTTCCTCAGGGCCTTGGCCCTGCCTGTGTCCCCTGTGTCGAGGGGCGCCAGCTTGCTGCCCCTCAGTCCTCCCAGTTTCCTCCGACAGAGGCTCCGTTGCAGACGCTTCACATGGACGTGTGGGGTCCAGCCCGCATCCGTGGACAGGGTCACGAGCGCTACTTCCTGCTGGTGGTTCATGACTACTCGCGTTACACCACAGTCTTCCCCTTGCGCACCAAGGGTGAGGTCACTGAGGTGTTGATCGACTGGATCCGTGCAGCTCGTCTCCAGCTCAGGCGGAGCTTCGGCTCGGACTTTCCTGTTTTGCGTCTGCACTCGGACAGAGGCGGAGAGTTCTCCTCTGGCCTTCTTCGTGCCTACTGTCGTGCGCGAGGCATCCGCCAGACCTTCACGCTTCCGGACTCCCCGCAGCAAAATGGGATTGCAAAGCGCCGCATTGGCATGGTCATGGACGTCGCTCGTACGTCTATGATGCATGCGGCTGCCCCCCATTTTCTGTGGCCGTTTGCGGTCAGGTACGCGGCGCATCAGCTCAACCTTCACCCCAGGGTCTCCAGGCCGGAGACCTCCCAAGCCTTGCTGTGGACGGGGAAGGTTGGCGATGCGTCAGCGTTCCGGGTCTGGGGATCTCGGGCGTTTGTCCGCGACTTGTCTGCGGACAAGCTGTCCCCTCGCGCTGCTCCCTGCGTCTTCCTGGGGTTCCCCCCCGACGCCCCTGGGTGGCAGTTCTACCACCCCACCTCTCGACGTGTTCTGTCCTCCCAGGACGTCACGTTCGACGAGTCGGTACCTTACTACCGCCTCTTCCCCTACCGCACTCCGTCCCTCCCCCCGCCCCCGCTCTTCTTGGTCCCAGGTCCCCCCCCGGTAGACCCCCTCCCCCCTCAGGGTCCTGCCCCTTCAGGTGTGTCCCAGGTAGACGCGGTCGAGCCTGTCGAGGTCACTGGTGACTCTGGTGCTGCTGCGGGAGCTGAGCCTAGGGGTGCTGGGACTAGAGGTGCTACGCTTGGGGGTGCTGAGCCTGGGGGTGCGGAGTCTGGGGGTGCTGAGCCTGGGGGTGCGGAGTCTGGAGGTGCTGAGCCTGGGGGTGCTGAGCCTGGGGGTGCTGAGCGTGGGGGTACTGAGTGTGGGGGTGCTGAGCCTGGGGGTGCTGAGACTGGGGGTGCTCCGCCTGGAGGTGCTTCGTCTCGCCGACAGCCACTCTCCCCGCAGGAGCTGCGTGAGTGGTTTGCCCGTCGCTGGAGGCGTGCTGCTGGTGCTGGAGGTTCTTCGGCTGCAGAGGGTGCTGCTGCCGAGCGTCCTTGAGGTGGTCGTGCTGTGGGTACTGGAGCTGCTGGGTCTGAGGGTTCTCCTGGAGCTGGTGCTGCTGAGGGTGTTGGCGCTGAGACTGCCGCTAGCGGTCCGACTGACAGTGCTCCTGGTGGTGCTGCTGGAGGTTCTGGAGCTGCTGGAGGTGTTGCTGGAGCGGGTACTCCTACTGGGGGTACTGATGTTGTCCCTGCTGTTTCTGGCGTCGCCGCGCGGCCCCGACCGTACTTCGTTCCGCTCCTGCAGCAGGTTCTTGGTCTTACACCTTCTCCTGGTCCTCCTCCTCCTCCCTTAGAGGGTCCACAGCCTGTCTCGTCACAGTCACAGCTACAGCCTGCCTCCCCTTTGCCTGCTCCTTCTCCCTACGCTGGTCCGACTGGAGGTCCTACTGAGCGTTGTGAGCCTGCGTCTCGTCCTGCGTCGCCTGTTCGTACTGCGCGCACTAGTGGTCGTGGTTCGCGTCAGCGTCCTCCTCCTGTCCCTGGCACGCACCGGATGTCTCTGCGTCCATCCACTGCTCCTCTGCGTGCCCCTTTGCCTTCTCCTCCTGCTTCCTCTCTTCCTGCTCTTGCCGACCCGGAGTCGGACTCTCTTCGTGCTGCCAGTCCCACTGTCACGCGTCTCCTTGCTACTGCTGTCACTGACCCTTCTTTCGAGTCTTCTGCTGCGTCTGCCCTTGTCACTGAGCTCGTCGACTTTGCTGCGCGCTGTCGTCTAGACTACGCTGCTAGTCTTGTCGCTGAGTCTGAGTCTGCCTGTCCTCCGTCCGTCGGGGGTGAGTGTGCCCTTGGCACGGACGTCCTTGAGTTGAGGACAGGCAGGAGGAGTTCCAGTGTCTGGCCGCCGCTTCACCTCATCTCGCGTCTGTACTACTTGCCCCTGAGGGAGACCCGGATGCACTTGACATCCCGACTCCGCGCTCTTACGCGGAGGTGATAGAGGGTCCCTACTCCTCTCAGTGGCAGGCAGCTATGCATGCAGAGATGGCTTCCTGGAAGTCCACAGGCACCTACGTTGACGCTGTTCCCCCTCCTGGGGCGAACATCGTCAGTGGCATGTGGATTTTTAGGGTGAAGCGGCCGCCGGGTTCTCCGCCTGTCTTCAAGGCGCGTTACGTGGCTCGTGGCTTCAGTCAGCGGCAGGGAGTTGACTACTTTCAGGCTTTCTCCCCCACCCCGAAGATGACTACTCTTCGGGTACTGCTGCACGTTGCTGCTCACCGTGACTACGAGCTGCACTCTCTCGACTTCAGCACAGCTTTCTTGCAGGGCAGCCTGCACGAGGAGATCTGGCCCACCTGGCTTCACTGGGTCTTTCCCTCCTGGTACCCAGTGGAGTCTCCGGCGTCCAGTCTACGGTCTCCGCCAGGCGCCACGCGAGTGGCACGACACACTGAGGACTACGCTGGCGGCACTTAGGTTTGCTCCTTCTACTGCCAACCCGTCGCTGTTTCTGCGCACCGACACCTCTCTGCCGCCGTTCTACATCCTCGTGCACGTCGACGACTTGGTCTTTGCCACAGCTGACACCGCTTGACTCGCCTACGTGAAGTCCGAGCTGAAGAAGAGACACACGTGCACTGACCTGGGTGAACTGCGCAGCTACCTTGGCTTGCAAATCACCCGGGACAGAGCACGCCGCACCATTACCCTGACTCAGTCACACATGGTGCAGCAGGTCCTTCAGCGCTTCGGCTTCACGTACTCCTCGCCTCAGGCCACTCCTCTGCCTACTCGCCACTCGCTCTCAGCTCTGCCTTCGGATGAGTCCGTAGAGTCGAGTGGCCCGTATCCAGAGCTTGTTGGCTGCCTCATGTACCTGATGACCTGCACACGACCTGACCTTGCATACCCTCTTAGCATTCTTGCACGCTATGTTGCTCCTGGGAGACACCGACCAGAGCACATAGCTGCAGCGAAGAGGGTGTTGCGCTACTTGTGCAGTACGTCGGGCATGGGGCTAGTGCTTGGAGGGCGCAGTCTAGTGGTCCTCACTGGGCACGCGGACGCTTCTTGGGCTGACGACCAGGCTACGCAGCGGTCGTCACAGGGTTACACCTTCAGCCTTGGTTCCGGCTCTGTTTCGTGGCGGGCTACCCGCTCGTCTTCTATTCTCGGCTCCAGTTGTGAGGCTGAGATCTACGCCGGGGCTATGGCTGCACAGGAGTTACGTTGGCTCACCTACCTGCTGACCGACCTTGGAGAGCCGCCTCGTTCTCCTCCAGTCCTGTACGTAGACAACAAGGCCATGCTGGCCTTGTGTCGAGAGCAGCGACTGGAGCACAGGACAAAGCACATTGCTCTCCGCTACTTTCTTGCTCGTGAGCTACAGCAGCGTGGACAGTTGCGACTTGCGTACGTGGCATATGAGGCCAACACTGCTGATGTCTTCACCAAGGCACTTGCGCCTTGTGATCATCAGCGTTGCTGCACGCAAATGGGTCTTGTGCCTGTCTTGCCTCACTTGCTCACTTCTTGACCTTGCTTGTACCTTTACCTATATATACTCTTGCTCTTGCTTGCTTGGCTCTTGTATATCTCTATATATTATCTTGCATGTGAACTGGCCTTGTGGCCCTTGAACTTGTGCTCGGAATGTGTGGTGACTTTGTGATCCACCCTGAGCTTTGCTTTACTTTGCTTGACTGGTCTTGTGACCCCTTGTTCTCCCCCACTTTGCCTATGGGGGTGTGTCAGAACATTATAGCCTACTTATTTGTGTAGGCTATAGTGGGGTATCCCATAGGGGGTACAACCCAATTAGGGTTTCCTATTTGTACTCACTTCGTTCTTAGTCATTCATTCACGTTCCTTTATTCACATGCGGCAGTGTGGTGTACCCGGAGCTCGTGCAATGCGTGGAGATCGTGATACGGCTGCCGGAGTCGTGGTCTGCCCTTGCAATCAACCTCAACTCCCAACAACCCCAATAGATCGTGGATTACATTCGCGCGCGCATCCTAGAGGAGGACTTGCGGCGGCGGAGTGTGGAGCGCTCGGAGGAGGGGGCTGGCTATGGAGTTGGAGGTGGAAAAAGTGGCTTCAAGAAGAAGTGGAAGGGCAAGAACAAGGACAACCCTAAGGAGGATGGCGGCGGGGGTCAAGGGGAGGTGTGCTTCTACTGCAAGAAGCGCGGACATCGTTGGCGGAAATGCTACCAACGACCCAAGGATTGGACCCCGCCTTCATCAAGCAACCAGCATGGTGGCACTAGGCGTGGGGTAGTCATGGGAGCTAGTGGAGAGAAGAAGGATGAGGTGAAAGGCGGCAAATCTGAGGAGCGGAAGGCCGGGTTCTTATTCTTCGTGAACGAAGGCGCAACCGACCATGCTATGGCTGCCAAGGTTCTCCTACACCCCCTCACCCATTGGGTGATTGACTCCGGGAGCTCTTGGCACATGACTCCTCGTGCGGACCTACTTGATGAGATTCAGCCCGCACCCATCTCTACAGTCACATCCGCGATGGGCGCCAAGGCCAAGGTCATGGGCATGGGATGCGCCAAGTTCATGGGAGCAGATGGAGAGCTCGTGGGGCTGAAGAACGTGCTGTGGGTGCCGGACTTGTGCGCGAACCTGATTTCTACCGGCCGGTTGGGAGATGCGGGTGTGAACACCAAGACGATTGGCTCGGAGCGCTATCGTGCCTACAACGATGAGCGCCTCATTTGGGACCTGTAGTGGAAGGGAGATGTCCACAAGCGGATGTGGCAGATCTCAGTCCTCCCTTAGCGGAAATCGGGCAAGGCGGCAGCAGCGGCATCTGTGGAGGAGAGCGTCACCGAGGAGGAGCAGCAAGGTGTGCAAGGAGAGGAGCTGATTGGAGGAAGCGCGGCGGTGAAGGCGTCGGCTACCTCGGGCCAAGCGGATTGGGAGACTTGGCATCGGCGTCTCGCACACGTGGCTGTTTCTACATTGGAGGTGATGCACAAGGAGAAGTGCGTGCATGGGCTGCAAGTGCAAGGAGATGGCACTCACTATGGCAGCTGCGAGGCGTGCACGCAAAACAAGTTTGCGTGGTTCCCGTTTCCACGTGCAGAGGGATCAGCCGAGGCACCATTGGAGGTGGTGCACATGGACCCGGTGGGTCCTATGAGGACTGAGGGGACTGGGGGAGTGCTGTACTTCCTCACCATGGTGGACGAATGGAGCCGTTTCACGTGGGCACGTCCCTTGTCCAAGAAGAGCGATGCTGCAACGGCAATCAAGGAGGATTGGTTGCTGATGGTGGAGCGGCAAGCGATGCGGCTGGTGAAGGTGCTAAGGAGCGACCGAGGTGGAGAGTTCCTTGGAGCGGAATTCACCAAGTTCCTCAAGAGAAATGGCATCCGACATCAGTTGTCCTGCCCAAGAACACCACAGCAGAACGGCATTGCTGAGCGTGCCAACCGGACCATTGGCGAGGCAGCTAAGACCTTGTTGGGGGCTGCTGGGATGCCCTACAAGTTCTGGCCTGATGGCGTTCGCCATGTCATCACGGTCAAGAACAGGGTCTTGACGCATGTTGGCGACAAGCATTGGGTGCCGTACGAGCGTTGGCTTGGGAAGAAGCCATCTATTGACATGCTGTGTGTGTGGGGCTGCATGGGGCTTGTGATGGTGCCTAAGGAGCA